GTACATAGGGTTAACGTTGGAAAAGGAGGGGTAAAGACTCATTGAAAGGTAACAAGCTCAACATACCAAGAACAATAAATAAAACAAGAATGACAATAAAAATAATGCTACGAAAAATGTTTAAATAATTGATATATGTAGGTGTGTTTACGACCCCATGGACACACGTTAGATCATTTTGGAGGCAGGATTCTGACCCTGTCTGTCTGGGCCTACCCGAGTTGCGAGGAATGTAGGCCCTAATATCACAGAGGGAAAGTCTGAGATACTCCACAAAAAATGTTCCCCTCCCCACTCGGGAAAGTGGGCTCTCGAGGTCGAGAGGTTATGATGTTCGCCTCTCATTCAGAAGGTCCCGGGTTCGAATCCTGACAGCGATGGAAAATTTTCTTCTCTAAAAGTGTCCCCTTTCATCTCCTTTCCTGCTCTCTAACCATGTTCTGTCGTCTGCTTTCGTCTCCACTTTCTGTCCCAACCCCCTCTCCTCCTTTGCCCCCTCCTCTGGGCTCCTGACTCTTTCTACAGCATTTCTACTGACCTCTCCTTGGCTCCTTCTTACTGCTGTCTTTCAGCCTCACCCCTGATCTTATGGCAGGTAAAACCGAATAGCTAGCTTTCTCGGACAAGAGCGAAAAATCTCAGAGGTCCCGTGTGCAAGTTGTGCACGGTAAAGGTCTCTTTGTGGTCCTAAAATCGATACGAGTAGGCTTCGGCCGCCACATGTGCAAAATTCAAAATTAATTGTGACCAAACCGCTAATGCTTGATGTTTCCCGCGCGCTCATATGACTTTATGCAGTTGCGACTCACAGAAAAAAACCCAACAACAATTTAAAAAAAAAAAAAATGAAATAAAAAAACCAACCCTTGGGAAACGAACTCGGGTCTCCGGCGTGCGACAGTTCAACTCCTATCGCTACACCACCGACGCCAGTGTTACAGCCTTGCATGCCACGAATTAAACAGAAACAAAAACAACAAATAAAAGAGTCATAAAAAACAATGATGATGAATGATACGTTGGGAAATGATAAAGGGTTTGAGGTACGATTAGGACAGGCGGGGGGTGAGGGGGTGG